CACGCTTGATGGATGTCAAATATCTATCTGTAAAGGAGCATGTGAAGAAATGTGACATATTAGTGGAGCACATTGATACCAAAAGGATGATTGCTGATCCTTTAACAAAGCCTTTAGCAGTGGGAGTCTTTAAAGAACACATCACAAGCATGGGGTTATATGAAAGCTTTGATTTAGCTGGTATGTGGGAGTGAAAAGAATGTTGCTGGATAAATCATGATCACTGACATGTAGGTGTTGCTGCAAATTATGTTTCGAATTTCTTTCAAGCTTATGTATTAATTATTATTTATACTGCATGTACAGACTTATTTGAAGCACTAAATGCATGTGATCGATGTTTGTTCCAAAGAACACATTGTATAAGTTTGTTATGCACAAGAAGCTGGAACTGGATTTGAAGTTCAGTTGTTCGAAGCAAGAGTGTGATAATTGTAGTGCATAAAATGATATGGATTGAACATATATGTATATGCCATTGACATCATACATTAGGACTTGCTAAAAACGTGATTTCAGGGTGCATGCAGTTCTTTACTTGCATTGTTTTCTGGAGTTCGTTTTTAAATAGGACTGTTGGTAGATGTGTATAAAATATGGATTGCGTAAAAAAAAAAAAAAAAAAAAAACCCATTGTGATCACTTAAGGGTGACTTATAATTGAATATGTTGATTCAAATCCAAAGACTAGTTAAGTCCAAGTGGGAGAATGTAGGAATCCTTTATTTGGACTCAACTAGTATTGATAATAGTGAGTCAGCATATTTGAAATTATAAGTCAGTTGGGGTTTTTTAAATACGTGGAAAAACCATATCATACAATTGAGGAAGTTCATCCATAGTGCTTGTGGTTTGAAGCACGTGTCAGTTTCACTACATGCACTGCGGAATTAGAGGCAACTGTGCAATAACCATCCTCCACGATAGATGGAAGTTGGGGAGCACTAACTCTATATAAAGGATTCCCTACTCACAGAGAAGTTGTTCTTCGTATTTGGGACTATCACCATAAGAATATTAAGGTCTCTAGTGAGTAGAAGAGTCTCTTTGAAACATGACAATGTCTTCTGCAGGTTAGCTTCATCTATGTAATTAAAATTGCGATGTGTTCTAGGGTTCAATGTTAGAAAATATTTGAGTTTATTCCTACAGGACTCTCTCTCCTCCTATTTCCATCACATTCCCTTCCTTCCTTTCACACTTTGTTTTTTGTCTTCTTGTCCTTATAAAAAAATCAATATAAGATGTTGATGTGACTTAATCTTAATTGTTTAAATAGAAGGGAAGTGAAGGATAAAGAGATTAGGAAGGGAAATAATCCTCCTCTAGACGAAAAAGGCCAACCTGTCCATTAGAGACTGCATGAACTCAGTACATGGTCAAACTTTCCCAACCAAGCCCACACTTGCTTAAACCCTTACTACTTGGGCAAGCAAAACTTGAAACTGGTCCTGCAGTTGGGCCTTCTGAAAAGGCGAGGCATAAATAATTCTACTAATTAGGCATAAAAACTCCTACTAATTAGGCAGGTTAAGTCGAACTTAAAGACAAATATACTGACTACTCCCCAATAATTCAAATACCCTTGAAGCCAGAAGAAACCAATCATTCAGTATGTGGTCCAATCTGATTGAATTGTCAAATACTTAAACCAATGCCATTCAAATCTGGATTTTGGAATTTGGTCACAAAACATCCACGCCTCTTTGATTGTCCAATTGAATGCATGGATGATTTGATACGCAAATACGTTTTAATTCCTGTTACTTCGACTTTGTGCCTACTACTAATCAACTCTAATTTGAAATTCAATAATACAAGATTATTCCAAAACTTGTTGACACACTCCCTCTATGATTTCAAAAGTTCACTTGATCCAAAATCATAACAAAAAAAAAAAAAAAAAAAAAAAAAAAAAAAACCTTTGAAGTCCAGACATATACATGTGGTATCATATGTTGCATTGTCTGTCATTGATGGCTTTAACATGGTCTCGCTTGTTGGTGATGATTGTATGTCCTATAATATATTTATTGCATTTATTGTCTTTGCGAAACATTCTTAATTATGGTGCTTGTGGTAGTCAAATAGCGATTTACTTATTATGTTTCTCTATGCAAATTAACTCCAAATCAATATACTGATTATTGAAGAAAATATATCCACGTGTCATCCCTTGTAATTGTTCTTGTTGATTAATGAAATCTATCTACCTCTTTTTGTCGTGTGATACTAGATAAGCTAAACGCGTTTGATATATTAAATTTAAATCGTTTGTATTTAAAACCAAACTAATATTTGTATCCAGTCGAAATTTACTTTCGAAGTTGATTCGTATTATAGTATTTATCATGTTAGAAAGATCATCACCCCCACTCAAATATCTTCCCTTATCCAAAGCTCCTAAAAGACAAGATTTGGAGCTTAAGATATAGTCAAATCATACCGTATTGGTATTTGATTTTTCATGTCATATTCCCAAAATACGGGTCTTCCCTTGAAATTTTTCACCTAAAGCAGTCTTTTGCGTTCTGACGGGAATATGACGCAGTTGGTGAGATCATAATTAGGCAAAACAATTGTTTGTTTACTAGACCGTCTCTAAAGAATATGTTAAATTCTAAGTAGAATAACACATAATTAAATTTGAAAGTAGGAAAAAAATCTAAACGTATGTCAATCCTACATGAAATGACATATGAGTATTTTGCTGTCAAATTTGACATATGAAAAAAGTAATATCAATTAATTCTTTAATTATTTTATTATGTAGGTCCTGTTTACACTAATTATAAATCTTAAAAATGTATTTTTATTGATTTTTTTTAAACAGGTTATATAAATATCATTTTTAACCAAAAAAAAAAAACATATAGGTTGAAAAAAAAAATTGACATTACTACATCAACAATCAAATTAACATTTAACAATTATCTTTTGACATTTTCAATAGAGATGCTCATAGAATTCAAAAGTGTCGATAAATTGAGCTTTCATTTCTTATTCTTTTGTAAATTTATGAGCTCGAGCTCTCAATCTTTGGGGTGAAAGTGTTTTTTCAAGGCATGTGTGGTGGAGTAGGACAACAATCCTATCACTGAATTCATTGTTATTGCTTTTCTTAAATGAAAAAGAGTAGTGTTACAAAAACTAAATAATTAGTTGAGGTGCCATATGCATATTATTTGCCATATAAAATGGTGCACGACTGCACGGTACGGATTAAAAATTGTGACGTGACGAGCTTTTAATTGGTTATCTTACATCGCAATGTGTAACTGGTTGTGAAGGTCCAGCTTGAGGTGATAAATATCTTTGCTTTTACGATTTCCACTTTAATAAGGCATCCAATCGGGATAAAAGGGCAGGCGCCAGAAAAGCATAAGTAAACGGTGAAAAACACGTTTTGGAAGGTTCTTGTGGCGTTGGTTGTTACAATGCTGAACGACAAAATAATTAAATTAAAACATAATATATATTTAAATTTAATATTTAACTTTTATTTTTATTATGCGTAATATTCTAGTCGAACTATTTTGCCATTTAAGCCTTTATCAAATGTTTCTTTTTAAGGCATTAGAATAAGTTGTCGCATATGTGAAATTTAACAGCCACACATGCTTTATATTATTTGATTTGTATTGTCTACGTATTCGACTTGAAAATTCATCATACATGAAGAAATGTGTCAACAATGAATCTTATATTAATGAGAAGAATGATCTAGTATGAACTTATAACTCAATTGGATTACAATTTTTATTGCCCATACGATGTACATCAACTTTCATCTAACTTAAATTTTAAACTAATACTGCCATTCAACACTTTATTAATTAAATTTTATTAAACCAACTTGAACTTGACTAAAATGGAAGCCAATAATGCTCCAAAGCCAGCTGTGCAAATCAGCATATAAGCTTCATTACAAGACGTATAACTCCAGCAAGCATGCTCAGTCAACTTTCAAAGATATTTTGGGGTTCCGGAGCTGCAAATTATGCAGAAGATTACTGCACAAAAGCAGGGTAATGGTCATGGTTATCTAATTCAAGATTGACTGACAGTAACAACAGTACGATTCTTTTCGCAAGTACTGTTGATGTCTACGAAACTAGTCAATAAATTTGTATTTTCTTTAATTAAGAGTAACTAAATAATGAGATTAAGACTCAGTTTTCAAATTTGATAGAATCGACGTAAAATTTAGTGAGATTAATACATAGAGAATATCATTGATAGAATATTATCCTAGTTAGGACTGGATTTCAAAAACTCTGGAAGTTGCCGCCGGCCTCGTGTAACATGTTGGTTTAATGCACATTCACAATTCATATGTCCATTATGGACTATTTTCTTGGTTAGTTTCTTTGTTTCCACAAATATTCTAGTTTTGTAAAATAGCTTTCTTACTTTTCAAGGAATCCTATTCCATTTCAGTTCTACACTCATACGTTTCTGAGAAGTACCTTACTTAAGTCATCCTTATCGAAATTTTCTGTATAAAATGATCATGCAGTATGCGCATCACGTTAGTATATATATGCACATGGTTAATTTACACTATTGAATCAGATTCTTTTGACAAAGAATGTTGACGTCTGCTAAATTAGTCACCAAATTTGTATTTTTGTTAATCAAAATCAACTTGTTAGAAATTTTGGTAGGCTGCTTAACTAGGTTAATTTTTACACTAGATAAGTTTGCGCCTCGAATTGATCAATAGGACCAAAATACAAGAAATATCATGTTTATATAAAAATACCTTATATGTATTAGGTACGCGATCGGCAACCTTACTGTAACTTTTGACCTCACATCGCTTAAATTTGTCTGTATGCATATGGTTAATTCGTACATAAAGCATTTTCACATGTTGCAAAAGGAGCACAAACTGAATCCAAAGTATGCAGTGCACACTAAATAAAAAAAACCTTTCAACGATTCCTTGAGGTGGGCCAACTAGTCAATGTGAAACCTCCAGTTCTCACTCCCTTCCAGCCAATCTGTTAACCATATATATATATATACACACACCCATTGGAGATGCACTATACTGCTATAAGTAACAACTCAAAACCCCAAGAGTGTTGGAAATTCTTATCCAGAACAAAAAAAATATGGTGGCGGCTGAGTTCACCTCGGGTTTTGGGAACAAGGAGATGAGGAGCTTTGGCTTTCAAGTTCTCCATGGCAGATGGTTCATGGTTTTTGCATCAATGCTTATCTTATCCATGTCCGGCGCGACGTACATGTTCGGCCTCTACTCAAATGAGGTCAAAACCTCTTTAGGCTATGATCAAACGACAGTCAATCTTCTAAGCTTCTTCAAGGACTTGGGAGGTAATGTCGGGATCATAGCCGGGCTCATCAACGAGGTAACAGGGCCATGGGTGGTGCTGTTAATCGGGGCGCTGATGAACTTTTTCGGGTACTTCATGATATGGCTGGCGGTGACTGGTCGGACGTCGAAGCCTCGCATGTGGCAGATGTGTTTGTACATCTGCATAGGTGCAAATTCACAGACGTTTGCAAACACCGGCGCGGTGGTGAGCTGTGTGAAGAATTTCCCGGAAAGTAGAGGCAGTGTTCTGGGGATTTTAAAGGGACTTGTTGGCCTAAGTGGTGCAATTATCACGCAGCTCTTCCATGCTTTCTATGGAAACGACGTAAAGTCTCTGATTTTGTTAATTGGTTGGCTTCCGGCTTCTGTTTCGATGGTGTTTCTTCCGATTATTCGGTTGATAAAGTACGTCAGACAGTCGAATGAGCTCAAGGTTTTCTACAATCTTCTCTACATTACTCTCGGCCTAGCTGGATTTCTCATGGCTATAATTATTATACAGCACAAGTTCAAATTTTCAAGAATTGAGTACATCGCAAGTGCTTCAGTTGTGACTCTGTTACTCTGTCTACCCCTCAGCGTTGTTATATTCGAAGAATTGAAGATCCGAAAGAGTAAAATAAGAGCGTTGAACGATCAATCTGAGCTCAAAGTAGTAGCTGAGAATCCAATTCCAGCTCCTCCTCCTGCTCCTGTTGAAGTAGCACCGCAACTTGCTGCAGAGTCTCCACAAACACAGAGCCAGCAGAAGCCAACTTCTTGCTGCTTCAGCCGGCCGAATAGAGGTGAGGACTACACCATACTGCAAGCAGTTTTCAGCATCGACATGCTGATCTTGTTCCTTGCCACAAGCTGTGGTGTCGGTGGAACTTTAACCGCCATCGACAACTTGGGTCAGATTGGGAGCTCATTGGGTTACCCATCTGACAGCATAAGCACTTTTATATCTCTGGTGAGCATATGGAATTACCTCGGAAGAGTCACTTCTGGCTTCTCCTCGGAAGTGCTTTTGAAAAAATACATGTTCCCTCGGCCCCTCATGCTCACTCTTGTGCTTCTCTTGTCATGTGTTGGCCATCTTCTCATAGCCTTTGGCGTCCCCAATTCTCTTTACTTTGCTTCGGTAATCATTGGGTTCTGTTTTGGGGCACAATGGCCATTGATTTTCGCCATCATATCGGAGATCTTTGGCCTCAAGTACTACGCTACTCTGATCAATGTTGGTGGTGCTGCTAGCCCTATTGGGGCTTATCTTCTCAATGTCAAAGTGGCCGGAAATTTATACGATGCGGAGGCCATGAAGCAATTGAAGGCTTTGGGAAGGACTAGAAAAGCAGGGGAGGACTTACGTTGTGTGGGAGTGCAATGCTACAAATTGGCTTTCATTATAATGGCCGCAGTGGCATTTTTTGGGAGCCTTATTTCTTTTATTTTGGTAATTAGGACAAGAAAATTTTACAAAAGTGATATTTACAAGAAGTTCAGAGAGGCAGCGGAGGCAACTGAATCGGATAATGTAGCTGCTGCTTCAGGTGGTTTGGTGCCTCCGAGAGAAATGGAGTCCAAAGCTCCAGTGAATTCTGCAAATCCATCAACCTCCTCAGATCGTTAGGGTAAAGCAATGAGATAGTTGACTAATAGCTCTATGCATGTATGAATGATTGTTCAGATGGTATTCTTGTAGTTTCCAAGTCATTTGCAAAGCAATAATCTTTGATCAATATGTTAGTAACATGCTTAGCTTAACAAATCTACAGTTGAGATTATTTACATATTTCTAAGTGATAAGAGTAATTAAATTTTTGCTAAACGGAATGGTTTTACAATTTGACTACCGTCTACCGCATAAAAGGACATGTTCCAACCGGTTTCTATGTAACTTGCTGGCTTTAACATAAAATAAAGGTCAGCATGTCATGAATTCGACTTGTTAGATTCCACAACTTCTGGATCCTAGGCCTTTTGGGAGCTCACTGGCTTCGAAGTTCATTAAAACTCTGAAGTTAAGCGAGTTCGCGCAAGAGCAATCCTAGGATGGATGATCCACTGGAAAGTTCTCATGTGAGTTTCTAGAAACAAAACCGTGAGAGCGTGGTCGGGGCCCAAAACGGATAATATCTTGCTACGACGGAATTGGACCTGGAATGTGGTGGAGCCCGGATCAGGATGTGACCCGACTGACCTGAATAGATCAACTATCATACTTACCAAAAATAGTATAATGCGCAATTTGATACGCATAAAATTTGTGTTCAAGCAGCATTAAAATTGCGATCCGTGGGGTGTTAGGTGTGTGATTTGCAAATGCAAGCATATAACTAACATGCAAGCAAATTGATATGTAAAGAGTATCTTTAAGCTTTATTTGGGATTGTTTTTTAAAATGTACTTTCATTTCAAATGAGCAGAAAATGGGTTTTTAAAATATTTTTTTAGGGTTAATCTCAATTTAGTACATTAAATTTTGTTAGTTTTCAATATTTAGTACATCAATTTTTTTTTTAATTCCAAAGTGGTACCTAAAACGAAAATTTTAGAATAGTTTCATACACTCATTAAGGTTGCTATTAAGTTAGTAGTACAATAGCCTCTACCTCCTATTTTGTTAATTTTAGAATCTTTTCTTTCATAACAAAAGCTTTTCAAAAGCTACATGAATCCCAAATGATCATCCACAATATATGGTGTAGGTATGTACCAGCTTAAATTGTTGACCATACCATTGGTCAATGTATTACAGATCAATCTGAATTGTTTTGTTCCTTTCCTGCGTGGAGTAGTGTGGACCAAACCCAATCGTGTGGGCACACTAGATATGTACCACCACTTCAGTCATGGGGTATGAAAACTCAGCCTAGCTTTCCCAAACCTAATTTTGTTACCTTGTTTTTTATTCTTTGGGGTCGACATGTATTTGCCGGTGCCACATTAGCTATATAACATCTGCCCAACTTTGTTCTCTCATCCACCACCTCCATATCTCCTTCAGATTCTGCAGAAAGCTCCCAAACTTCGTCCCCTTTTTACGTTGGTAATAGTGTAGTCATTGTTCTAAAAATTCCCGCTTAGCGCCGTCTAGGTCCCGACTAAGCGCTAGGCGACTGGCCACCACCCCGATTAATGCCTAGGCATTTGAAAATTAAGAAATGGCGTCAAGACCGCCTAGACACTTGCCTAGGTTGAAAATAAATAACTTTCCTTTTGTATTTTATTATTTTCAATAAATTGTAAGACACTTATTGAACACTTAAATAAAAACACATTATATGTTTGCTCCCCATATTTTTATTATGTTTCAATACTTCATAATATATATATATATATATATATGTCATTATATTTTCTAGTTTATGATGAAATTATATATATTTGAAGTATAAACAGACACTTATTTATATGAAATACAATAAATTTACTTAAATCCGCCTAGTCCACCTAGGTGCCTGTCTAGGCTCCGCATAGCTGCCTAGGTGCTAAGCCCCAACCGCCGCCTGACTAGTGCCTAGCGTCTTTTAGAACCTTGAGTGAAGTAGGACTAAAGTTTTTCTTACCTATTTTATTGGTTCAAGGACTCAAAATCCCAGCTACCATTCAATTTGTGGCAGCACTAGCACTCTTTCGGCAGAGCCTCGTCATCCATCAATTTGGTCATACGATGTGATAAGAGAGATAAATACAAAATTGTAAAGAAAGACGGCGATAGAGAAAAAAAATTTCATAATTTGACCGTCAATTGCCACAAAACCTAAAAAAGCACAAAATATGATGTGTAAGCGTGCAATTATGCTTTTTGACGTTTGGGAAAAAAGTTGTGGTTATACATACATGCTTGGAGACACATGCAGGTGAGACTTTAAATTTTTAGGGTTTTGTGGGAACTTTGTTTGTGCCGCTGCCTACCGGTGGTGTGTTTATATCAATGTATATATCACCATTTAATCATCTTATTGGGGCTTCAACTTTTCTTTGCCTCAAGTTCTATGTGCTTACCCCACAACACCAATAATTTACAAGACAAAGAAAACAACTCACATCGACCCCACTGCTGATTGCTGTCTTATGAGGGTTACCGGCCCAGATTAAAACACAATTTTGTTTATTAATTAATCAAGAAGGAATCATTATGTTTTTACTCAAAATTTGCTGTAAAAATTCACTAGAATAAAAAAAACACATAATTATTAGTTAATTCAATAAATTTCATGACTTGAGTTCTTGCTATCCCTCTTGACTTTGTCTTCATGCTTGACTAAAAGCATAATCATCTTTTTTGATTAATAACTTAAACCGAAACAAAGTTTGCTTGGAGACGATTTCCTTTTTCTTTTTCTCTCATTGTTCTAATTGTTTCTGTTAGAACTTAGTAACACATCACTAACCATATTATTGTCATAATTGTTGATTATATCTCCCCCACTTGATAATTGACAATATATTGATTTTCAACCATGTCTTGGTCTCTAGTAAAATTTTGTGCCTCTGTGAGTTTCATTTGATACGCGATTCACATATATCACATAAGTAGGTTGATGATATCAATCTAAGAATTATATCCCCTCATAAAGGATTATAAAATCATCTTCTATGTGCTGGAGAATAGCGGGACGAGCCATTTCATTATTATTCTCCCATTTATAACCCGAGATCCTTCAATGCATGTATCTCCCACTTTAAATTGTATACAAAGTTTTCTCATGGATTGGAAGGTATGTGGTCCTTCTTTATCATGTGCAACGATCAATTTCCATATGCAAGTCCTGGTTATGGATTTCAATGCAAAACACCAAAGAGTATTGAGCAGAAGTCTAGAACCAACCAATTAGCCCAAACTAGAACCAACCAGTTTTAGTGATTTGAACGATTAAGGCGACTAACTACTCCTCCATGTGTCTTTTCTGTGAAATTTTGAGTTCTGTGCTGTTCTAAAAACTTTTGGATACAGTTTCTAAAGGACACAACTGATCAATTAAAATACCAGTTTATAACCCACCAAGTAGAAATATTAGAGAGACGGGCATACGGCCCACTACCAACAACATCGATATTATCCTTAATTTGGTAATTATCATTTGCACAATCTGCCAGGTGTAAAATTTTATCACAAAAAATCCCGGTTTTAGTTAAAGTAGAATTAGGATATTTAAAGTATTAGTTTTCTTTTTGTATGACTGAAGTGGGATTGGATCCCACTTCAACAGATTGGTGCAGACTTTTGTTGATTACATGGACGCCTTATATAAATAGAAATATCTAGATCGCGATTGTCTGCGGATTCAGAAAAAAAATAAGACTTTAATCTGTACGAGCCTCATGTAAAAATCTGAAATTTGACACAATTCCCGAACCGTGTGCCTATCCTTATCCCTTTTGATATCGTTGACCTTGCAATACCATTTTATACATTAGGCGTGTATAAAACCAATTTGTAAATTTGGGACCAGTCACTTCAGACATGAAGTTCCAATTAGCATCCCAGTATCACTGATTCACAACACAGATACTTGAATTCAACCTGACCAACTTCAATACCACGAATGAACCAGACGAATAAAAACCAGATTTCGTACCTTTGATTCTTAAATCTCCTTTCCCTTTTCAAATTTCTTGCTTATATAATATCAAAGAGCCTTGCTCTGATATCACTGATGATTTCACATAATCGTCACAAGATTGAACTCTAATGTCGTTAGACTATTGATTAGTAGTGCCAAGAAAGAAATAACACCCTGGAAGAAGATAGTTTGTTTTACTTTGAATATGATTGTAGGAATGAATCTTCCTTTTATAGACTTCATCATAATCTTTTCAAAGAGTTGTGATACTTCTCTAATGATCTTATCATTTCGTGATAAAACACATCACTTATAGAAGGGTATAACCCTTATGTTAAGTTACACCTCTTATCACACCCTTGGTTAAATGTATATCAATACACAGATCTTATATTACACCCCCATATACATCAAATACACACATAGTAAAGCCAAGATAATCCTGTCATATTCCAACATATATATATATATATATGAATCTGTTCATGTCCAAATTTGGTTCAATTGAGATATTGATGTGATTTTTTTTTTAAAGAATCAATATTATCTACACTAAGGGGAGGCTATGGTTCAAATTCTTCTTTGATGAGAATCGAACCTAAAACCCCTCACTTATCAGTGAAAAGGAATACCACTAGACCGTAGTACTAAGTGACTGATATTGATGTGATTTAATTTGTCTCTTAATTAGTAGGAAAGTTGGAAACCCTACACCGTAGAAAATTATTGTTAGAGTGACACCATGTGGTGTCAGCTAACACACTACACTATTATCTGGAAAGAGTAAATTATAGCAATAGTTTTGAATTAGGGAATTGTTATTAGCATTCCAAAAAATCTCATTCTACACTCCTCACAAGTGTATTTTTCTTTCTAATTATAGAAAGTTTGAAGTGCCAAATGAGATTTTTGGAGTGCTAATAACAATTCCCTTAAATTAATACTTGATATTCTCATTAATTTTAGCCTCTACGTTTGTTCGTTTTATGAATTCTGTAGTCCTCAAGTCTTATTAAGTGTTTAGCTTTTATCTGATTTTCTATCTATTTGATCGGGTTTTGATCACAAAACCTTGTTTTAAGAAACGACAAGGTGATACTATGTCGCTACTCCCACAACGATCCAACCGATTCAACCCACTTAGTAAAACGCCTTCATTTTGCCATGTACTATCCAAAAGTTGGAGTTGGTAGGATCGTTAGGGCAAAAAATGACCAAAACTCTTCAATATATGACTACACAAACGGCTAGTTTGTAGAATATCGACAATTGTTGGATGCTTAACACCTCTTCGTTCATATCTATTGTTAGTCAAGATAAGCCTTACTAAAGGATTCATTAATACCTCTCGTAATTGTCATTATTAACCAATATATCCATTAGGAGTTTATCTTTTGGCCTTAACTAATTTGCTTATAATCATATGTCTAGTGAATTAACTACTTTTAACATAATTTTGATTTTCTCTACTTCTTCTTTTACTCTAATTTATACTTAATAACAAATATGTGTAAGGGTTCATTACTACATTTTACACCATCCTGCTTTTATTACTCGCTAGGATGCATGCATAGCCAAGGGAATTAATGCTTACTTCTTCCACTAGTCATTGAATTGATCTGGTAAAGGAGTGGCTGCTATGGGCCTCTGAGTTCGTGTTGTGGTGTCATGCAACACGTGAATCAACATGGAAGAAATAAAGAAAGATAACCCAATTATCTCCATCTCATGCATGCCGGCCGGTCTCAACAACTTTCTTGCAAACAAACCATCCATAAGGTTGGTTATACTAATAAATCAAACTAAACTGTTTGCTTTTTTGGGTAATAGAGGTACATTTATTTCGATAAATAAGAAAAGACAAAAGAGAGCAACACTTCTGTCGATGGAAGCCAAAGCTTGTGGAGAGTATAGGTAAATTTTTTTGGGCAATTAGTGGGAATGGTTAGTTTTTGATATTTGATTGCATAAATGATCGGTTTTTATCATGTTATCATTATATTATTTTTATGTTGTTATTTAATTGTTGTATTATCGATATATGACCAATATGTTGTCGTTACTAAAAACTTTAGTAACTGATTATTTCTGCAACTAAGTGTTAAAAACTAATCATTCCAGCTAATTGTCGAAGACTTTTTTTTTTTTTTAACACAAGTAAGTGGGAGAATGGAGGAATATTTTAACACAGTACCTCGAGTCATAATGGTAGAGATTGTTAGCTATATGAGTTGCCCTTGCATCGTTAACCAAGGTTAGACTGCTCACTGAGCCTAGAGGTTTTTCTTTTATTTTATCGAATTCTCTTGGTGGTCGATTTTAGGGCAAAGGGGCCAAAAATAAGCCTAAATGAAAGCTCTACCCAATAACATTTCAGCCCAGCCCAAATCAAAACTTAAATTAAAGGGCCGAAATGCAGACATTGTTTGCATGTCATGTTTTGTTAGCGCATTTTATTTACATTTTTCTGAAAACTGAAAATTAAAAGTAGTTATTAAATAAGTTTTTAATTTTTGAGGCAAAACAGTAGATTGATTAATAGTAATCAAGCACTACAATCATTCAAAACATCACGGATAATGTCCAGAGAATCCTCAAACCAAAAGAAATTATGATCAAAGTGCAATGCCAACTTGGCTATTCTATGCCCTATGACATTAACCGAATGTCAAACATGGAGGATGCGAGAGTTGGGAAGAGAATTTTCAACTTTAAAAAATGTGAAAACAAAAATTAAAAAACTGAAAACTGTTGAAAATGCTAATGGGTAGTGAATGCCCAGAGTGTTTTGGTGAAGTTTTTCAATGCCCTCATAGATTGGCTTTTAACATTTGCATTGTTTATGACTAAACATATACATTGTCAATTCCCATAATAGTTTGAAATTTGACTTTGGGAATTCAGGATATCATTTTGTCAAAAAGTGTGTTGTAAATTTCAAATGTAGTAATACGAGTTGCTCTATAAATAGAGCACTCGACTGCAATCAAAAGATACAGAAAAATATAAGAAGAAGAGAACGAGAGAAAAATATCAGTAACATCATCTATTCCTCTGTCTTTATTTGTTCTCCTCTTGTGCTATATTTTTAGTGTGACATTTTACATCTACCTTGCACGTACCAATAAAAAGGTTATCTCTCTAACTTTGATCTATTTATAACAAAAACAAAATAGTTATTAAACATATTTTTTAGGCGAACAACTCCCTAGCTTCTAGAGTTCACTGCTTTTCCCAGGCCGGAGAAGGGCTTATACTGCTCGCCTATTTTAAAAATAGGAAACTGAAAACAGTTAGTAAACAGATTTTGTTTAAAAAAAAAAATGAAGAAGTACAAACTAAACAAAATTAATGGCTAAAACACAAAATTAATGGTTGAGATTGAAAATTGAAGATCTAATAATTGTGAGAAATACAATCTAATGGCTAAAACACTCGTACCATTGAGTGTTAGGTAGCATTAAAGCCACACCTAAAACTAAAAGTTAAAATATAAAAAATGAAAGTAAAGTGGTTATTAAACAACCCCTAAAACTTCTTGTTTTGTAAAAAGGAATCATTTTTTAGAATACCTAAATTATTGAATGAAGAATCTTCGTAGCTTGTTTGTCCTTTAGCCAACCAAATTTATCATACAAATCTGAAGTAGTAGCTCTAACAATTTGATTTTTTTTTTTTTGAGCAATGATATTATCTATATTAATGGAGTGAAAAAGTAAACTAAACTTCAAACTAAGCTAGTCATAATAATATAGTTCAAATATATTCATAGTTCATGAGTTATGACCAAGTCTTCACAGCGTTTTTATGCTTCTACACGTGTCAACCATCTTGAAAATTATCGAGTTAAAACTGTGTCATTCAAATATCTCTAAGATGACGACATGATTCCGATCTTGTGTATCAAACCAGATAGGAACGTCTTATTAGGGTTTAACACATTAATTAGATTGCTAACCTCAATCCTTATCTGCTCTAAAAAACTAAATATTAAAAATTAATACAGAGTCCCTTCCAAATTTCCAATTAGTTTTCAACATTCGGGTCCACTTTAGTACTAAAATTCCTTACCATACAATATGACGATGAGAAGTTTATTGAAACTAAACTTCCGTCTCAGCCGTCATTCAGTATTACGGTCTGTTAGTATTTATTTTTACTTGAAAATGCGAGGTCTTAAGTTTGAATTTCGTGGATAGCGAATTCGATACCAAATTAGGCATGTCTATTCTGCGGCTTAGCCGAACTCCTTTTCACTTTAGTATAAAAATATAAATGTACTAAAAAAAAAAAAAAAAAAATTCTTTCTGAGCAAATCAATTCCACAAAGTGAATTCATCATGGAGGTCAATCTGAATGTAATCCCCTTATTGACTTTAACCATACCACGTTCATATATATGATTTATGACGTTGATGTTGATGGTGTCTAACAACTCTTTTGACAACCCTCGACTTGCTTCAAAATTTAATTTTAGTTGCCAGACTATTTCTGGAAGAGAACAATACACCCACAACAGATGCACCATTATAATAACCAGTCACGCTACAAGAAAACAGAACTTTAGTGACAATGCCGTGTGATTGCAGATAAATTGTCAAATAGACGAGGCCGTGTGAGCTGCTTGCTATGAAGGAGAGAGTTTGAGAAATCGACGGGTAGAGATTGATAGAGCGAGAGATCAATGAAGATTGAGATGACGCCATGTGAGCTGCTCGCTCTCAAGAAGACACGTAGTTCTGTTTTATGAAAAATAAACGCTTATGACTTATAAATAAAATTATTAAAAGAGAAATTAAATGGGCAGCAATCAGGTACATGTTGTTGTAAATAGTATTTTGTTTTAGGAATGTGATTGTGTAAACTTAAATAAGAATCTCAATGATTTGGAGATCAAATTCTTATAGACTTTGTATTACTGTAAGACAAGAAACCCTATCATGATTAGTATAAATAAAAGTATAATGTCATGTGGTGAAACATATTTGTCACAAACACCTTAGCCCTTCATCTTTCTCTGTCATCCCTCTCTCTCACCCACTCTTAAAATGTAATTTACAACACATTATCAGCACAAACATGACTCTGCAAGAAGGAGAGGATCCTTGAAGAAGTCATGCGAAAAGCTTTTTTCATCTTCGTCAACATCTAGGTAATCCTAAACCCTAATCTATTTTATTTTAATTTATATTTATGCCATGTACATTATGATTACTGTTCTATGCTATATGTATGTTATATGTTGGTGTATATGTGTGGGTATACTGAAAAAGAAACCTTAAAATCGTAGAAGCCGTGGCTGGAAGCTGGGCCTACGTCTTAGCTGCCGGACTGATTCACCAAACCCCTGCCTTAGACTGGACAACCCGTCGTTCTTGACGTTGCCCCATCTCCTCGACAGAAGTCGAGAAACCCTAGGGCCGCAAAAGACTAGTCACCACGACGCCTAAAGCCGTCCTCCTGAGGTGGTGATTGTCTCTGAAGATCGAGGCTCGAGAGATTCTGGGAGAATCTTAGTAGATTGAAGGTCGTTTCACCTCGCTGCCATCCTTGTAACGACGTCGGCATCGATACTCGGACTCCGCCACCATATTTATAGGTGGAAGACTATGCCTCGTAACCCATGCCAACGTTAAGATTCCTCCGTCGTGCCCTATTAGGTTACCACTAAGAATCCACGACTTTTCTCCTCTAGAACCACATCCCTCGATGATTTCGAGGTTGATGGTGAGGTCTAGAATGTTTGACTCGACCCATAACCTCCAGAGGATGCCTGAAAGCGGCAGACTTGTTTATTTTGGCGAGGGAGACACCACCAGTGATTCGGATGGTGTGTGTTGAACAGTATTGACTCTACTTCGGCTGAAGTCCGTTGAAGAAGACGCCCAACTTAGCTAAGACCTACTGAAGAACACGCCCAACTTCAGCTAGGACACATCGAAGAACGCACCTAGCTTCAGCTGGGTGTACCAAATCTACTCACCCATCTTTGGCTGGAGAGTGCCCATCCATGTAGAGACTTGAGGTTCTCCATGTCTTAAATCCATTAAATCATACTATGTCCCTAGAACATGAGGGGAAAACTTTTGAATATGCTAAGTTCATAGAGTAACGTATCGTATGCAATTAACAATTACAAGGAGGAAGCATGCTTGTATGCACTAAAAAACTAAAACTTAGACTAAGAAATTCAAAACCTTGTAGTTTGGCGAACCAAAGACTTAACTCAAATTACAAAGAGAGTTGAGATTTCTTATACCTTTGAAGATTCTCTATACCTAGCAAATGGTAATCACCCAAAGTGAGGGCCTTCATTACTTTCCTTGAGTTAGACACTATAACCTTCATCTTCATAACTTTGCTCCTTGGATTTAGATGCTTGAATGGATTTTCCAAAGCTTCCAAAATTGCGAGCCTTTAACTTTCGACACCAAGCATGATTGAGGAAGAAGATGAGTGACATGGGAGGAATAAAATGGTAGTGTTCTTCTCCCATGTAGCTTGCATCCTAGAGTGAGAAGAGAGAGTTGTATTCTCTCTTCTTTCTTTATAGAAACTTCTTAGTGAAGGAAATGGTCAAAAGATCTCTATGTAGCCACTCACATGTGAGTGGCACAAGCGAAATTCTCCTTTCCTTACTTGTATGGCTAGCCATCCCAACTCATTTGGGCTTTTGGGCTTCTTGAATTTTGTTGTCAAGTTATTATACAACTTAAGTTAATGGGCTTGAATTGGAAGCCCATTAGGCCTTGAGGCCCAATGTGTTTTAAGTTGTCATACAACTTAAGTTAATAGGCTTGAGTATTTAAATTTCATTGGGCCTTAAGACCTAATACTAACTCAAGGTCTAAAATGAACATATTTTTTATTATTAATTAGTCATGCCATAAACTATTAAACTGTTTAATTACTCTTACTCAACTTCGTTATATTCTTCAATCATTACATTACACAATTTGTGATCCATTAGGTTCTTTTTAGCGAGAAAGTGAGTTATTAGAACTCTTACTAATCGATTGTGAATTGAAACTTACTTTCGTTTCTCCCTTAGTGATTGTTAATTACCATGGTCTAACCCATAAGAGGCATCTAGCAGTATGTCATGACTCCTATGCAAACCAAAAGAGGTTGGAGAACTTGTTCAGTTTGGGATTACAATGCAATACGATCTTTCTCTAAATCAATACTCTTGATCACATTGTTTAGTTGATAGTTTATTCATGTGTACTATCTAATGTGATTCTCTTATCTATATGATTACCTTGGGTGTAATTTGGAATGTACTTCCTAAATCTCATTTATACTTTGGCCAGAGATTCTTAATTATATTATGGAGTATTTTCCCTCAATGGTTTGAAGGTTAGAGATACCTTGTTGTATATTCACATGCCCATGTGATTAAGTAGCTTAACCCCAATTATGTCGTGAACACTCTGTAACGGAATGCCTTTAACATAGTCAAAGATTAATGACCTAACCACAAGACAACTATGATGCCTCAAGTCAAAAGACTACTTTGCATTATCCCAATTAGTGAGTTCTCATACGACATAAGTATGAGGACTCATGGTTGATCGCATTTAGTGGACTCATTCTGATTGAGCACCTATACACTTGTCTTGGTGTCATTCATACCAATGACTTGAGACCCGTCATTCTTTGAAGAGAAGACATAGTATGTAATGATTTGTCGAGATTGTCAATGCCTAATAAATAGTCCTATGTTTAGGAATGTTTAGGATTTGTATAAAAAAAGTAAAGTCTTAGGAATCTAACATCTTTAGAATACATTCTCTTAGTTACATATTACTTGAACTTATCGTTTAAGTGTATAACATTTAATGATACGGCTTTAATCAATAATCTTTACCTTTATATTAAACTAGATTAATTTAATATGTGAAAAGTTTGTGAAGTATCATCTCATGATTTGCTTTAGGGCTCATTTCCAACAGTCCTAGCCATGATTCTTGTGAATATTAATTCAAAGCACTAATTCACATTTTGTTTATATACAAAATATGAAGCTCAAGTGCATACACGACCTAAATGTGAATATTAATTCAAATAACTAATTCACTATTTCACAGCCTTAGAGGTATTTGGAAGAAACTACCTCAAGTAGATACAAGATAGGAAGCCCACCTAACTACAAAGGATATTAGAAGCAACCATTGAAGCTGAGAACGAAACAAGTGAAGCTGAGAATGCAACTATTACAATCTTTATGCACTGCCACATGCATGATGCATTACAGACTGAATATATGTTGGAAAAAGATCTCCAAATTCTCTAGCAAGCATTAGCTGGTCATTTTGGTCACCAAGAGCTGATCCCTTTGCCTGAACCAAGACATGATTGGATTAATATAAGGCTTTAGGACTATAAGTTTTTGAACGAGTATAACTCTGAAGTAGGGGTGGGCAAACGGGTAAAGGATCCGTGGGTCGGGGTGAGGCGGTGGTATTTATGGGGCGGGACGGGTCCTAATCTTCAAACCCACGGGGCACTAGACCAACTCGTTTCTATAATAGAATGAATGGATGTGATTGATTGATTAACAATCATCCACATCTCAACTGTTGGATTAGATATGTTTCTCCCTACCATAATTCATCCTCTCCCATCCAAACCACATGCACTCATACTCCCACTCCTTTCCTATCTCTCATCCTTGACGACATCACATAACTCAGTCCCAGACCATTACCGATTCACCATTGTCACCTATCACTGTCATTGCGACCATCACCACCCCATCCTTCATCCTTAAAGACATCCCCAAAACCCAGTTTTCTCGCTCTTGATTCCTATCTCTCTTCCTCAACGACATCACAGAACCAAGGTCCTAGACCATCACTGATTCACTATTGTCACCCATCATTATCATTGCGACCATCACCATCTCATCAGAGTTGTCGATAACACTACCATCATCGAAGCGTCCTGCTAAAATTTAGGTAATTTTTGAATTAGGTTTTTTTTTTTTTTTTTTTTTTTGGTTTAGTGATTTAGGTTTTGTGAAAATCTAGTAGATTTTGTTCTGGTTCTCAATATCTGGGTTTGGACCTTGTTCTATATTTTTAAATTAGATTTGTTAATTAATATGTTGATTTGTTGACAAGTCCTTTGTTCAGTCCATATCAAGAGATTTGTTAACAAATCAACATATTAATTGACAAATCCTAATTCTGGGTTTGTTAATTAATATGTTAACAAATCCTAATTATGGGTTTGTTAACAAATCAGCATGCTCTGGGTTCTGGTATTCAAGCCTCAAATTGACATCAAATATGATCAATATTAGATTTTCAAATTCTCTTTTTAATTTTATCTATGACCATTTCATGCAAATTGGATTTGATTGTAAATTCATTTTTATAAGCTATTATTTGTAACTATTAACAGGGAAAGATGGCAATTTATGAAGCATGTATTCACCCTCTTAGAATTGGGAGAAGGCTGCGAACACCTTATGCTGACAACAGAGGCTACAAAGCCTTTCTCATTATTTTATAACTTTTCTTATCTAGCAACAACATGACTAATGAGCTATTTATTTCTATATTTTCAAATGATTTAAGTAGTCGCCAAGTTAGCCTAAACACAATTCTCTCTTTTAATACAATATTCTACTCGGCAAATATTTACAAAGAAAATGATATAGACTTACAGTGATAAACCAATCCAAATAATCTATTAATTTTTTTTTTTGTAATTTGGACTCATGGACCAAGCTCGATCTGGCCTGTTTCAAACGGACCGTTGCATTTTAAAACGGTCTAGTTCGGTCCCTCCAACTTTAGTCCCGGCCAGACTCATGCCCACCCTTACTCTGAAGTATATAGATCCAATCAGTCCTGAAGTATTGTGAGGTTGGGTTCACAGAAGAGGATCTTTGGAAAATACTTTTCTTGCTATGAATAATTTCCTGCATCAACAATATCTAGCGCAAAAATTTACTAAGGCACCATCTGTGGATGCAAATTTCTACCATCTTTTCCTTTGATAAAAATGCACTTGCAAAATAATAACACCTAAGATTAAGGCCAAAAGCCTCACGAACCCACGATGAATTGGGGAGGGGTCTTTGGCCGAAGAATCTCCAATGCCAAAGTTAGAATTATGAAAATAATGTGTTTAGGAGTTTGTGGGTAGCAAATGACTTGGCTTTTTAGTGAGAGAACATGGCTATTTATAGGGGAGTGGTTGTCTCTATTTGGCAAATAGTGGCCGGCCATATATGGTGAATTTGTGCGAATAATTGCAAGAAATTATGTGAAATAATATCTTGCAATTAACATGGCAATTAATCTTAAATTAAATTGGACAATTGGGAGTTACCTTTTGAATAAGGATTTGATGAGGAGTGATGAGAGGGATTTGAATAGATACCATTTTGATAACCTTTGACTTTTCCTTAGTTGAGTCGTTATTGTCCGTTGCACGTGCATGGGAATCCCGGTATGTCTCGAGGGTAATTTTGTCCTTTTCATTGAAAAGTCCATGTGTCACCTCCATAATTTTCTTGATTATTTTGGGCTCAACAAATGCCCCCACACTTGTTCGGCAACTCGCAGGAAAGGGTAACAGGTGTAGAGATCTTCCCTTACTTTAGGAAACATAAGATCGTTTCCTATATTGATGTAGATTCCCACATTTAATTGGAAATTAGATCATTCTAGGAAAGAGAAATAAATCACTTCCAAAGGCTATTTAAGTCTACCTTATGTAGATGATTACATCAATTTTAGAGAGCAATTTATTCTACCCTACAAGAGAGAAAGCTAGATGATATTTGTTCCCCCTCCCTTAGCAATTGTCTTTTGTTACTTTCTTCATATTCACGCTGCACCAAGGTAAGAAAAAATTACTTTTTCCTTGTCTTTGTAATTTTTTAGAGCCTCGGGGCTTGAAATTTGGCTTGACGGGGGTCGAGGATGTGTGAAAAATGGTTATAAGGGCCACGACACTATTGCCATGGGTGGCATGGTGCGGTGGCAGCTCGACTTAAGCCGTGGGCTGGCGTTGTGATCCTAGGGCTCGGCGCATGGCTGGTTTGGGCCTGGTGCGCTGATTTTTTTTTTTTTT